GGTGACTCACATTTCCCAACAGTCAAAACCAACAAACAGTGAGTCAATCCCTTCACCACCGTCCTCATTTGAGGCCCATTCTCCCAGCAGTTTTACTCTACAGTGAGCATGAGGGGGGTGACAAATTCAAACAATCCCTTTGATCACGAAGGGCACACGCTGGTTTAACCCAAACACACAGAAACCAGGTCAGGTGTTGTTTTCAGAGCTTGGGAAGTTCGGATACTCCCAGGTACTGTGGGATAACTTGGCTCCTTCACCACAACAACTGCACTCCTCTGCTCCTAAAAATACAACTATCAGACAAAGCTTGTTTTCTCAGGCACTTTGCTGACACAAGTCCAAGATCAAAACATTCCTGGTTCAGAGAACAGAGATGTATCAGTCTCCAAAATCCAGCCATGCCATCCCCTCAAGGTGCCTGGGACACTCCTAAAAACACACATCGATTTATTTCTGCTTAGTAATGTAGGTTTTGGGGGAAGAATAAAATATTCTGGTTGCCTGAATGTGTTGAGAAGGCTCTGGAAATTCCCTTTCAGCAAACCAGGATAAAGTTTATTCTTGCTTGAAGCTGCTATTTAAAAGTTATATTAAAAAGAAATAAGTAATGGCAGACACTTGGATGTTAAGTGCATTCCCTGTCCCCTCCTTAACCAGCACTTGCATCTTCTGGCCTGAGAACTGAGACACGGGGAGATTCAGATCGTTGAATTTCTAATTATAAACTCATTAAAATACTAGTTTTACGTTCACCTCGAGCCCAATCATTCCTCAGCAATCAGAAGGAGCTGTGGGATGGGAACACAGAGCATTTCATCCCAGGAGGGAGCCAGCCAAACCCAGAGCTTTGGGAGCCCCTGGGCACAGCCTCGTGGCCAATCCACCCTTCCCAAAACCATCCCGGAGCTCCCAAAGCCCAGCCTTGCCCCGCCAGGGCGACAGTGACAACACCGGCCACCACAAAACCCAAACTCTGGAGAGAGCCGGAGCTGCGTGGGGAATTTCCCAAAACATTGGAAAAGCCGGGATGAATGCGAGTGGAAGGGATGGAATTACAAACAGGAGCTGCAAGTCCAGCCCTCTCTCCTCCTCCCTTTCCCCACCGAGAGCCAGCGATGTCTCAACACCCCAAGTGCCTTTCCAAGGAAGTAGCTCTGCTCCTTTCTGGGCCAAATTGCCATGGCAAGAAATCCCCACATAGATTCATCTCCAACAGAAAAACATTCAGACAGCAAGCATTTCCTTCCCACAACCTGAAAACAGCCAAACATCATCAGATTTCTTTGCTGCCATCAAAGAAACCCTGTCCTGAGACAGCTCATAACAACTAAAAGCATTTGCCCATAAAGCAAATGTGCTCCCAAGCACTGACAGAAATATTTTGTGCACCCCACGAAGCTGGCCGTGGCTGAACACACTTCACCCCCGGGAAGGCTGGAGAACACAGCAAGAGCTTTCATTTGTAATGATTTATTTTACTCCTGCCTTCACTACATCAGGATGCTTGTCTCTTACTCATCCTGTCTGTCAATACTGTCTTCCTGCAGCTTTTAAGTAAAATAACCCCCATGGTAACTGTTGTCAGGCCATGTCATGACCACTGAGGCTTCATAAATAACACTTGATATAAATAGATTTTCCAGCAACATATAAACCATCAGCTCCAATGGAAGTAGAAGGGTTGTGTGCAGCCATCTGCATTTTCTCCTGTAAGGATAAACACATAAAGAAGTGTTTGAGAGCAAAATAAATCAATTGAAGAAATGGCCCTAACAGAAACTTCTGGGGCATGAGATTTCTTACAGGATTCACAGGGAGACATTGACAGGAGCAGCTACAGCAGGACAAGATCCTCCCAGGAAGAAATCCTTCCCTGTGAGGGGAATGAGGCCCTGGCACAGGTGCCCAGAGCAGCTGTGGCTGCCCCTGGATCCCTGGAAGAGTCCAAGGCCAGCCTGGATGGATGAGCATCCTGGGACAGTGGAAGGTGCCCTGCCCACGGCACTGGGTGGGCTTTGAGGTCCCTTCCCACCCAGACCATTCCAGGATTCGGTCACCTCCCAAACAACACCAGCTCGTGGTGGGAAGAGCTCCCAGGGGTGCCAGCTGCCTTGCCCTGCCCCGAGGACCAGGAGAGTTTAATTGCTGCAGCTCAGATCAGTCCTGAGAGCAGCTCAGCAGCCACTTCTGCAGGAACCCATGCCGACCACGCCTGCAGTTTCACCTGCTTTCCTTTCAATGGTCTGCAATCAACTTCCACGTAACAGAGCCACAGCCCCTCGGGACACCCCTTCGTGCTGAGGAAGTTGGTAGATTTGGCTACACCAGGAAGAAATAAACCCCCAAACATACCGACAGAATCAAAGAGAAAAAAACTTGGCTGAATTTAAAAAAACAAACATTTGAAATAGGAGCTGCGCACAAACGCAGCATTTTTTACAGGTTCTTCGGAACAAATGTGGAGGAAATAGTGAAAAAAATAATCTTCAAACACTGCCATTATCTCAAGCTTCCCCTGAAGAAGTCTCCAACCAAGTAATAATGCCAACAAAGAAGCAATTTCTACTTCTCCATTGGAATTTAACTCCCTGTTAGATGACCTTCACGAGACAGAAATTCTCATATTAGCAAGGTTTAAATGCACCCACACACCACCCAGTGTGGACTTAGGCAGGTACACTCAGGTCTGCCTGGGCTCAGGGAGGGCAAAGAGCACAAAAATTCCCTGAACAGATTTGAACACAAAGCTTTTGTAGGCTAACCCCCGAGTGAGCACCCAGGGGACACTGCCAGGGGGGTGAGGGATGGGAGCTGCTTAAATTGCTGCTGACCCAAGGAAACACCCATCAACCTGCAGCCCAAATCCCGCCACTGACTGAGAGGCTGCTTTTCCTCCAAATCCTTGGATTTGTTTCCACGCTGAAAATGCTGAAGAAGCAGGTCCCATCCTGCTCCTTCCATCTGCTGAGAGCCGTGTGCTTCCAGAGAGTTCAGCAAAGCTCAGCCTGGCTCAGGGCAGGGCTTACAGCCCAGTGCCACACTGGGATGGATCTTAAACCATTTGAGTTTGGCCTGTTAAGCCACACCAGGAACCCCAGTGTCAGCTCCTCTTATCCCCAAGACTCTGACAAGACATTTTTGGGTCCTCTTCACATCTTGACTAAACCAAAGGCGTGTTTAAATCCATGATAAAAATCTCAGGGCTTGTTTAATCTCCTTGCTAGCCCAAGGCTGAATTTGTTTCAGTGCATCTCCATGTTAACACTGCTCTAATTTCAAGGTATCTGCATCATGACTGGGAGCTAGGAGTAGGGGTACAAGAGCTCATCAACTAATCCAATTGTCCCATATATCTCAAGGATTATTTTCCAGTTTGCTAACCTGAGCTACTTGTTGCAATAATACTTATCTACACTGAAATCACCTGGCAGACAAGGTGTGCAGTTAAGCCTGGCTCTGGCACTGTGCAGTCCATCAGCTGCTCATCACTCCAGCATTTGTTCTGCTTCTCCACTTCGTTTTTACAGCCTGCATTTAACTCCACCTGCCAGGAAAAACACTACCCAAACCAGCTCTTTTTTTTTAAGCTTAAACTGGGTAATTTAAAGCCTGCTCAAGCCTGGCAGCACTACAGTGCAGTGAGGACAAACAGACATATTAAGCTCCCTATGAATACAGAGCATTTGGTGTTTTTATTGAAAATTAATGCTCATCAGCAACAGGGAGCCTGGCATTTACCTGGCACTGAACTCACACCAAGAGTCAGCTGCGTGCGGAAAATGACAAGGCGGAAAAAATTAACAGGCCAGGTCTTTACCTTGTCTTAAACACCTCGGGGGATTTCCTTGGCTGCCAGAATCTTCCACCGGCTCTGCTGCTGCCTTTGGGCTCAGCCCAGCCTGAACACACCTGGCCAGGAGAGCCCCAAACTGCCTCAAGGGCTGCTCTTCCCTGCGTACAAAATGACAACGACGGCTCCAAAATGAAGGGATGGGAATAAAACTGTAAAGCCTCTGCCTCATTCCCAGCTTTTAAGGGAAAAAGGCAAAAGCCACCAATACCAAGAATGTATGATAGTGGTTAGTCCTTATTCTAGGAACCCTACTAGGCTTGCAACAAGCTTTGTTCGGGTATTTTTCTGCACTACCTACATCACTTCTTCCTACCCAAAATGTACCTTAAAATAAAAGAAAACCACACACGATATCGAACGGGGCTTGCAAGTTAAAAACCAGAAAAATGAAATATTTACTGCCTCGATGTGCACTGACAAAGAAAAATAAAAAGGCAAATAAATAATTTTTTAAAAGGGGAGGGGGGGGGAAGCTTTAAAACGTATCACGAGAACGGGATCAGGGAAGAGCGAGGCCACCCCTTCAGGACCAGGGGAGAATTAACCTGCATTTTTCCATCCCATCTATAAGCTTACGGCTCTGCCACCCATTTTGTCACAGATTAAAGGAAAAGAAAAATTAAAAAAATATAATAATGACCTCAGCGGCAGAGAGAAGAGCCCACCCGGGGATGATGCCCGAGCGGCGCTGCCGGCCGCGCAGGTGACCCCGCCGCAGGTGCCACCCCGGGCATCCCCCGCGCCCCTTCCCCATCCCCTGGAGGCGATGCCGAGGCGGAAAACGCCGGCGCGGAGCCCAGGGAAGGGTGTAATTAAGCCGCAAAGGCGAAATGAAAGGGAGAGGAGGCGCGCCGGGCTGCGGGCGGCGCGGCAGCCGCGCGGCCAAGGTGAAGCGCGGCCGGCGAACATGGTGGAGGCTGCGGGGCAGCGAGGGGCGAGCGGCGGGGGCGCGGGGCTGGCAGCGACGGGCGGACAGCGCCGACGGGGACGCGCTCCCTCAGGGCAGCTCGCTGAGGGCGGCAGCGGGCCGGGCTCACCTGCCATGGCGGGCTGAGGGCGGCAATGGCGCTGGGGGCTGCGGCTCGCTCCCCTCGCTGTCCGCGGCGGGCGAGTGCGGCGGGGCCGGGCGGCCCGGCAGGCAGAGCACGGGGCGGGACGGGCGCCGCCTCCGCCCCCGACAAGATGGCGCGGCCGGCCCCGCTCCCTCAGGGCTCGGCCGCCATGGCGGGGGGAGCGGCGGCGTGGCCCCTGAGGGTGAGCAGCCGCCACTGCAGGGATGGCGTGTGCGGGGTTTATGCGCGAAGGAGACAGATCGGAGAGTCACGGCATGGGGCGGGTTGAAGGGGTTGCAGTGGGGTTTGTGGTCCGACCTTTGCTCAGGAAGGGGCATCCCGCCGCGCATGGCACGGGATTGTGTTGGGATGGGTTTGGAATATCTCAGTGAGGGACATTCCGTAGCCTCTCCGGGCATGGTCATGGCCTCAGGGATTGTGTTCGGGTGGGTTGGGAATATCCCCGGTGAGGGACATTCCACAGCCTCTGTGGGCAGTGGAGCCTGGATAGGCTCGCTGAGGGATGGTCATGGCCTCAGGGAGGATTGTGTCCAGGTGGGTTGGGAATGTCCCCAGTGAGGGACATTGCACAACCTTTGTGGGCATGGTCATGGCCTCAGGGATGAGCTGGGATTGTGTTCAAACGGGTTGGGAATATCCCAGTGAGGGATAT